ATCCTTCTGGCTCTGGAAACTTTAGTTCCTCTGCTCATGACCTGTTGACTGAATTTAGCTGGTGGCCAGTTGGCCAGAGGGCTCACTTTCTCTCTCTATTTCCAAAAGAAAACAGTTAATGAGATTTTGGTCTTGGAAGATTGCTTGGCATTTGGAGAACATCTTTCTGCTGGGTTAAGAGATGACACTACCTCACACAGCAGAGAAAGCTAGCCAGAGAGTTCACTTAACTCCCAAAGCCACTCCACATGACCCATAGGACATTGATTCAGGAGGGGCAAACCCCACTGGCCCAAAGTTCCCACCTCCAAACACGATTAGTACGTGCCTTCAGGGCTTACATTCCAACCAACACAGGGATGTGAAAGCCCCACTGAAGGCGAAAGAGCTGATAAGATGTGCTCCGTATGGTTCAGCATTTCACGACACGTATCACAAGTGTGCAGCCCGTCAGCCGGCATTTGAGTAAAGCTCTCACCGGCACTGTGATGAGGTGGAACATTTGATTTCAGGGAGATGAGGCATGCAGCAAGGGCAGGTATAGCCGTAATCTGAGGGCAGCTCGGGCCACGTAACTGTGCCCGCACAACCTCCCACCTGATGAGAGAACACTGCTGTGCCTGCCCTTGCTTATAAGATGGCGGGTCAGATCACACCCAGCTCACTGTGAGCAGCTTAGTGCGAAGAAAGAATCATTTCCCTTTCTCCGCCAGATGCACAAAGGCACAGCAAAGCCCAGGCATAATCTTGGATCTGTTTCTTGATAACATGGCTGGGTCACAGCTTTTACCTAAGGATTTGCACCTTGATTCCAAATTGAGGGCTTTCAGATGTCACCCCCAGAGCTGTTTTAAGTCATTCACTTCAAGCACCATTTAATCTGTCGGCTCCTCAATCTTAAATAGCAAAGTAATACCTTGCACTGCAATTCACGGTGCTTGTGAATCCTTTTCTTGCTTCTGACCCCAGTCAGGACTGGCAGGTTAATAGCCTACCTGCTAAATGGAAAAGAAAAGAAAACAAAACAAAAACAAACAAACAAACCTGGCAACACCTTCAAATGTGTGTTGTTACAAAAGCTAACAAGATGTCAGCCATTTGGTGTCTCTTTAATAGTGATGGTTGGCAGACAGCAGCCATTTTTGTACTCTGGAGGGAGTGTCTGTACCTGCTGTAGGTCAGTGGATTACAGTAAACATTACTAAAGTCACGACCCTTGGATTCACCATTTATTTTCCCTCCTACATCTGGCATACATTTTCCTTTGCCAAAGAAGCCATGGTATTTGCTACCTCCTCCTCCTCAAGGAATCACACCACCGTGATGCTATCCACACAGTGGACCATGGAGACATGTGTCACAATGAGACAAACGAAGCTGCTGTGGTAGACTCTTACTGAAGAGGGATGGCTGGCATTGTTCTGAGGTGACATAGCAACACAGCTTATGCTGCAGGCGTAAAATGGACTCCATTGAGAATGAAGGAAAATGTCTAACGTATTGATAGCTGTCAGCTCCCAGGATTCTGTTGGTTTGCTAATCAACTGATGACACCTGCAACAGCTGCTGAACCCGGACCCACACGATTAGTTAATAATGAAGTGTCGCTCTCCAAGACTCCACTATTTCTGTGTTCAGGTCAAACAAGAAGAGTTAAATGGGAACATGACAAAAACTCATTGAGTCTTTCAGACCTTGGAGGGCAACATGAACAGCTGACAAATATCAGGTAATATGGTGCTCATCACTTCTGGCATATTGTTTCAACTGGGAGAAAATGTCCTAGCTTTGGCTTGGTCCTTCGTACCATTCTTCTCCTAGTTTCATGAGAAGGGACCTGAGAAAGACAGTGTGTTTAATTAAGCTGTACATGTGATAACTGGGAAGGGGTATATTTGTGTGTGTGGGGGGAGATCAATGAGCCCCAGTGGGATGGACTCAGGCCAGAATTCCACTTATCACCTGGCCTCTACAACCCTCAAATACTCACAATGCAGTACTTTGCAAGATCCCTAACCTTTTATAACTAATGTTGCAACAGTCACATAGAAAACTATGGAGGTTGTGGACTTAAGTTTTACCTCTGCAACCCAAAGGAATAAACATTGGATATTGTTTCAGGTCTGCAACTACGAAGTTTAAGAAAGCGTCTGGAGTTTCTTGTCCTGCTCTGAACCAAGAATTTAAAACATGAGCTAATTTTCTTCCTGTATTCTCAGTAGTACAATAAGGAACAGCCTTATCACTGATCTTCACATTCCTCATTTGCATCACAATAGTACAATTCGGTAGTTTTGGTTTGCCAAATGCTCGACTTTAATTGCAATCTCATTGTCGGTGACTGTGGGTCAGAATTTAGCTATGTGCCTCGTGAAAATAGTATCACATTTCTCACTGAACATGACGTTCCTGCTCCCTAGGAACTCAACTAGGACAGATAGCTAATTCCATGTAATCTTTAGAGCCATTTATTGGCCATGTTCAGTGCTGCTATGATGGCTACTACTGCAACTGTCTGCATCCACAGACTGATGTAGCCAGCGGAGCATGCAGGCTGGCTGTCAATGTGTCTGGAAGAACCCATTGTTTTAACTTGACTAGTACAGGGAGACGTATCTGTGTGCTTTGCCTTCTTTCAATTATTGCCTTGTGATGACAAACGTTAGAGCTGTCAGAGAAATACAGCTCACAAAGAAATCTAAGAAATGTACATTCAGTTTTCCAGTCTCTGCAGCGCTGAAGGAGAGCAGAGAACACACCAACTGGAGTGGATTCATCATGCCCATCAATGTCTACATGTGAAATCTAGAGGTGTAGCTCAGGGACAGAGCTCTCACCTAGCATGAATGAGGCCTCAGTTTGATGCCCATCACTGGGAGAGAAAAAAAAAAAAAAAATATATATATATATATGAAATGAAACTCTGTATGGACAGATAATACTCTTAACTATATAATATGTCTGTGGAATGCATTGTCCAGGATGCCCAGATTGAGTACATTACAACGTAAGCCACAAGGTGGGGCACAAACTTGTTAGCATAATGCTTTCATATCACGCAAGAGCCATCATCTACCCACTCACTCCCTCATTTCCAAATAGCTAGGTGATCATTATTCTTGAAAGACTGGTTCGTAGGATCCTTCCTTCACAGGGAGGGGAGTCTCAGTTAAAACTAATGGATTGCAGGAGACAAAAGAATCCTAACTAGCGCCTTCCTTTCCCTCCCGGCAAAGAGGAAGGGGAAAATTCTGAACTAAGAAAAAGAGCCAAGAGCTGGCGCCTCTAAAACAGGAAGGATGGTGAGTGGGAAGGGAGGGAAGCCGGAGGGGAGAATTCAGACGGCTGGGGTTCAATTCTAAAGAGGAAAGAGCTGAACAACTCAGTGTGTAAGGTGCCCCATCCCAATGAGATGGACGAGCGTGAAACATTTGTCCCCATAGTCAATATATAGCGCCCGAATTGGTGTGGTATCAATTAGATAGTGCAACAAAATTAAGTTCTACCTCCAGTTTTTCTTCTTTCTTTTTTTTCCCATACATAGGGTAGTGGCACGGCACATACAGAATAAATCTGTAAATTAAGATTTTCTTTTGAAAGGGGTTCACCTTGTTTTTAATTTTAAAAAGCCCGCAGCTTAGCTGTGCCCAAAATATGTGTGAAAAACTGGAAACCAAACCAAACTAAATTCTGCTAAATTCTGGTGCATTTGTTAGGAATAATCCCTCTACACTGTCACACAGAAAAACAGTCTCACAACTGACAGGCCATCTCTGCCTGACGCCATCAGCACTGTCTCTCCTGTCTAGGGCTCATTTACACAGTCACCTCAGAAATGGGAGAGCCTAGAGCAGACAGACACCAGCCTGGCGAGCAGCTTGCAGCCTGCCGAAGCCCACAGACACAAGCCAATGGCCCTGCTAACTGTGGCTTTTATCTCAAGGTGGTGAACCCAGGGGCATGAGTAAGCAACCCCACCACCAAGTGTCCCCAGAAGGACTGCCGTGTGATTCGGTTATAATGTCTGGTTTCTTTCTTCCTGCTCTTCAGGAGACGGAACTGACTGGAGAATCACTGAAAGCCTTAAAAGCCTCTGATGACTACCCACTCAGGCTTGTAGGACTCCTCCTGAGGACACTCCTTCCTGTCCCTCCCGAAGCAGCGGCCCACACCCACAGACAGCAGAACCCACTAGCAAGAACCATGACACTGGGAGAGTCCATGTTTCAAGATGTGACCAAGCATCATCTGTTCTAAAACATGTCCAGATGCCTGGAGTGTGGAATAGACGAATGAATGAATGAGTGATGCTGAAGCTGAAGCTAGCAGCCAGCCAGTGTGTGTCAGGAAACAGATACAAGAGCGAGAGGCAGGGTGTTGGATTACAGTCATTTCCTATGCTGGGAAGCTGGCTGCTTCAGGTGTTTGTAGCCAAATATTTGAATGGGCAACTATTTAATAAATTCTCTATTATCTACTTGGGTATGTTTCCAAGAAAGAGGTTTTACCACAAGGGAGGGGCAACTCGTGCTCACTGGGCGTCTGCTGCAAGGCAGGTGACTGTTCTGTGATGATTCTGAAACTATCAAAGCCTGTCAGGTCAGCATTCACAATCATCTTCCATAAGCCTACACAAAGGACGGAGTGATTTAAATACGAGATTTGGAAGGCCTCTTCAAAATGACTTAAAATGAGGATGTTTTGTGTCTGAAAGAAAATTGAATTGACTTCTCAATAACAAAAACTGTGTGCTCCGGTAATCCTAGCACTCTGGAGGCAGAGGACAGTGGGCAGTGAGTTCATGGCCAGCCTAGCCTATGTAACAGGACCCTGTCTTAACAATAAACAGATGAATACACACAAAAAATAAAAAGCTTTGAACCAGAAACTCAGAGACCTAAGACCTAGTTTCATTGCTTTTTTGTGTAACAAGTTGGCAAGAGAAAATAAATTAGAACAGAAACAAATAAACTGATTAACAAAAAAGAAGAACTTTTCCCACAGCATAGTATATTTATTGTGCTGAAATCTCATAGCAGGGAATGAAAGGGTCCGGGAAGCCAGTACAGAATGCTCACAAAGATTTACACATCTCTAGTCATTACACACTGGCAAAAAAAAACAAAGTGTTGATCCTCTTGGACCATACTACTGTATGTGCTGCTAACTTTCTGTAATGTTCTCGACTGCATGCCTTTGGGGAAAACGTAATCTCAATGCACAATAAATATAATTTACAAAATATTGCAAAAGTCTGTACAAACAGCAGACATCCTATACATGCAGTTTTGAGAGGTTGGAAGGTTTAGAAACATTCATGCTATTTTTGTCACATTTGCTCTTTCCATATGATCCCTCTGTGACATCCCATAACAAATCAATCTGGGTGAAAAAAATGTGGAACAAGGTCTCTTCTTCAGTTTTCCCGTCGTCTGATTCTATTACATGAAATACGTCTTTTGTAAACACCAAATTTTACTTGAGAGATACAACTTGGTCTCAATTTTCCCATCTTGCATTTATAAATAACACATTGTAACAGCAAGCACTGAATTTAGCCGTCATTAGCACCAAGGAGTCAAGGTATTGCACCAAAATGCATTTACACTTCATTTCTACTTAGTACGATTTTTTGCAACGTCATCACAAGGGAAGCAAGCATCAGTCAGAATAAGACACATCGAAAGAGGTGGGTGACATCACAGAAATGCTTAGTGGGTGCTATTTGTAAATAAAGTAAGATAAAGAAAGTAAATTTGAAAGTTAAAATTTACATTAAAGGACTCCTTGATTTTTTTTTAAGTAAAATTTATTTCATTTTAAATGTTCTTTCCAACAGAAGAGGTAGGTGTATGTCCACATACGAAAAATCAGCAACAGCCACAAATCAAAACAGGGGAAGCCTGATGAAAACAACGTGCCCTAAGAGTTCTAACTGCATGTAAACGTGACTACCTTAGATGTTACTAACAGAGACATGAGCTGTTTCATGTTTCAATCATACAATAATCTTAATTCTCATAATACATTTCTGCTAATAATAGGAGTATTCAAAGACTACCTTCCTCATCACGAAATAAAAAAAAAAAAATGTTTCCCACAGTGATTTGTGCCATAAGTCATGGTGGCCTTCAGGTCACGATTTTACTGTTATCCTTTCTTATTTTTACCAACACCATCATCATCAAGCCTCTAAGATTCTACAGAGATTTAGCGGAGCTTTCAAATTTAATTACAGCCGAAAGGGAATATTCTGACTAGAGGTGGAGATATTAGACCACAAGGATCAACAAATGAGTCCAAATTCAAATATATACATGGTTCTGTCTCTGGACGAGAAAACGTCAGGTAACTGATTCGTAACCAGTAGGAAACTAGTGATTTCTGGAAAAAAAAAAAAAAAAGTGTTTTTCTTTTCATAAGACTGTGTTTCTGTGATCATCTAAAATTCAGACTGAAAAAGGAGAGCGTGTGATAGGTGACATTTCAGGAGGACGTGAGCAGGGAGAGGGGCTCCAAGGTCACATTGGGATTGCTTTGGTCTGGACAACATCAAGGCTAATAAAAAAAATGTTTAAAATAAAAACTTCATAAATAAAACATCTGGGTACCATATATTGAAAGGTTTCCTCAGTCAGAAGGTACAGACATGCCACATCTGTCTTTCTCCCCACCCCAGACCCTCTGCTTCTGTTGCCCCTGAAATTTTATATGACTCAGGTGTTTCCTCACTGTCAACCAGTTAAGGCCCAGTTCCAGTTACTCTCCTTTTGGCTTTCCGTTTTTCTGGGGTTTCCCGTTTTCTAACAGCAGCTGCTTTTCTGACTTGTTCACACCGTTTGCTGAAATGCCGTTCATGGCCGTCTTTCCAGTCTCTGACTGCTTGGGCTCGTTGTACGTCCGGGTGTAGAAGTTGAGGAAGAGGAATATGAAGCTGATCGCGTAGGCGATAAGACACCAGTGCATCCACTTGGGGAAGGGGCAGTCGGTGTAGAGAGACAGCGCTGTGTGCCCAATGGTCACATGGAACTGAACCTGAAAAACAGAAGCCACAGTGCAGAGATTTAGTCAGATTAGCAAGAGACTTCTAGCACCAGCACCACGCCTTCTACAGATCGGGTGCTCTGCCCAAATCGTGCTAGACTGTTTGAAAGGTTCACAGTTCAAGTGCTACCTGCTTAGCAAGGGCATTCTGGTGCTTCCTGTCACAGGGCTTTCGTGTTTTGGTTTGGTTTTGGTTTTTTGAGACAGGGTTTCTCTGTGTGATAGTCCTGGCTGTGCTCGACTCAATTTGTAGACCAGGCTGGCCTCAAACTCATAGAGATCTGCCTGCCTCTGCCTCCCGTGTGCTAAGATCAAAGGCATGGGCCACCACACCCGGCTTGTGTTCTGTTTTTAAAGTGGTGTGATAGCTATCTGAAGCCAACTTCTGTTATCTGTTGACTTGTCAATTGTTCATCTCTTTATTAGACTATATGTCCTGGAGACAGGGCTCTGCTCATGGGCCATTTCTGAGTCCCTGACACAGAATTTGGACATTTGAATACTTGCTTGAAGGACACCCAAGGAGAGGGAACCGATGGCCACTAAAAGAGCGGCAAGTCCATATCTCAATGAACACTGTTCTTTAAAAACTTACATTCCAATTAAAGTCAGTAAATGCAAAAAGAATCACCTTCAATTTTATGAATTCTCAGGAAGAGAAAACTGAAAATGTGAAAGTGTTAAAATAAACTTAAATTCTGCTGTACTAGTTGCAAAATAGTCTGAGGCACAAAATCACAACTTCTGTGACACTAGCAAAGGTTAACTTTTTGTAAGACTTGTGTATTATTTAAGTGTCTGGAAAAAGTCTGACTCAAAAAATTTAAGTTCAGCATCCTGTCTATAATGGGCAACCACACAGTTTCTTTGAGAAAGATAGCATTACCCATATATATATAGGATATATATATATTAGTAAATATTAAGACAATTCATTCTGCACTCTTCAATTTACATTAACTTTTACAATTCCCATGGCAAAAATCCAAGTTTTTAGAACTTCTGATTTCACAATGGCCCTTAGAACCTGCACCACCGAAAAAGGGAGCGTACAGGGTGTGACTGGGGATGATGTAGCTCAAAGCCCAGGGGCAAACCCCAACAAAGAGATTAAATAATTTATACAATCTGGGCCACCTCTTCAAATCTCTTGGGACCACTTAGCTCTCACGGAGAGGAATGAGTTCTACAAACTACATCATGAGCTTCCACAGATGCTGGAAGAGTCTCTTGGAGCATTTCTTTACTAATGAATCCTTCACACCCAGCGTTCCCCAAAGGTTGTGGTTCCTGTTTGGTTAGGCAGCTATGTAGCAACTCAAGGCAGAGATGGATATTTCTAAATGCGATCCCACTGATAAAAGTTGTGTGTACACTATGATTAAACCATATTAGAATACTTTCTGAAGCTTGGAGATTAGGTACCAGCCTGTATTTGCATTTTGAGTTTGATTACGGGCCACACCCAAGCTGTGAACAGTGCTTTGCTGCATGCGCCGGGGTGCAGTGAGAAGTGCTACAGGGAGGAGCTGCTGAGAACTGTCTGCCAGGAACACTGCTAGTTCAAATCCTCGGCTCCTCTCTTCAAGCACTGAGTTTTACAGAAGCAGAAAGAGCTCTCTATCTTGTGCTCAATCCCTTCCCCCACCCCTACCCTTCTTTGGCTCTGCTGTTTCCTTTGCTCCATGTATGGGGTCTGTGAACAAGGACCATGGGGAAACTGGGAATGTAAGCAAGAACAAGAAGAGAGAATAAAATGTTAAGCTAGAAAAAACAATCGTCACTCATGGAAATATTTGTCCAGGCATACATGCATCTATGTACTTTGCAGCACTGTTACATTTTAACCATCCTTTTCACAGGTAGCTTTTTTATAGACTTTCTCTCAGAGGGACAGGTTCTGCACCAAGTCTTTAAGGGCATTATAAAGCAAGTAGCTACGGCCACTTTACTCAGGGGTGATTAGGCAGAACCAAGCCAGTCTCAACACTGTACCTGACTTTAAAGTAGATTTTGTGATGGAAAACAACCTAAAGCAACTTAGCACTTTACAAATAATGACTTTCAAATATTTTAAGTATTTTGATTTTTACGTCGACGACAACCAGAAGTACTTTTTGAAACATTTAACTCACCAGCTGTAGCATGGTCAGGTATCTCTTCCACCAAAGGTATTTCTGGATCCAGGGGCCGAATGCAGTCAGCCCATAATAAGAGTACATGATCACGTGGATGAAAGAATTCATCTGGGCCCCAAAAAACGCTGTCGAGAAATAAGAAGCAATTTGCAAAGAAAGTGTTACCAAGCAGTGATGACACTGAGATTAAAGAGTGATCCCACTGATAAAAGTATGTTTACACTATGATTAAAGCATATGAGAATACTTTCTATATCACTTTCTATTCTGGTCTCAAATAAAAGTCAAAGTAACGCTAAGAGAAAAGCCTCTCAAATTAAGCTTGATATCTTTTACAATGTAGTCTGGATGGTTTCTTTTAAAAAATCGTATAAATAAAAATGTGTATTGCCAAAAGCAAAGGGTTTTAGAAGTGGTAAATTCTTAAATGGGAGACTCCAGTGAGCTCTAGCAAACCATGTAAAGTGGCTGCTGCCTCCTATTTTCCCCTAGTTTGATCCTACTTAATAGTAATTCCTTAGAAAGAGGCTATGGTGCACCTAAGAGTTATGGGGACTTGTGCATTACATTTTCAGCTCAAGGGACACCAGCGTACATATCAGTGGCAAAATAATACCCATTTCTTACGTGTACCTAGTTTCCAACATGACAGTGTTACATACATCAACCCACTTGGTTTATACCGATCCCAGCGACATCCCGCTCAGTCAAATTCAACAGCATCTGAGGGGTCAGTTTAGATTTACTAATTAGTAAATCTTTTAAACTCGGAGTTTCGCTTTAACTTTGCTAGCAAATCAGGAGTGCGAAATGTGTAGGTTGCAATAGTGACGTGATGCCACCCTGTGTCCAGAGGAAAAGGGCTATTTCCGGCTCAGCCTGTATCTTACCCTTACGAGAGGAGAGCAAAGCTCTGCCCAGCTGTGACTTCTGAGCCTCTTTAGCACTAATGAGGCCAGGCAAAAGTTCACTCAAATAAGAAGCGGTGAGGTCACGCAGGGTCTGTGTCAGAGCAAGAGTAAGCCGAGGACTTGGACTGAAAACCAGACATCATGTCTCAGCTCCTACCAGGCCAGAACTGCCAATCAGTACCTTTCCCCACTCACTAAGTATTGTTTTCTGGCTTTTAGGCTTATTGGTTTGTGTTCACCTTGGGGGCAAGTCTTCGCAGATCAAAAAGTTCGATTCTTCACAGATAAAAAGGTGAAGTTATTAAGAAGTGAGATGACCGTGAATGGAGATGATGATTAACCGTGAAAGCAAGCTGAATGACACACTAGGTAAACCGACTTTCCCCAGTGTGCTTGGGCATTCCTCACCTTGGCCCCCTGCCACCCACTTGATGCCAATCCACCACAGCGTGAACATGGTACAGTGGTGGTACACGTGAAGGAAAGAAACCTGGTTGTTCTTCTTTCTCAGGATAAAAAACACTGTGTCCAAATACTCAACTCCTTTCGATACAAAGTACCACCACAGAGCAGCAGCTATCTGTGAAAGGGAAGAAAAGGCACACTGTGAAACAAAATCACGCCACTGTGTGGGCTGTCCCTCTGTGTTCAAAGCGCAGAACACAGCACACAAAATGCAGGAGGTGTTCAATTATTCCCCTCCGAAGTAGGTTTGAGATCCGACTACGTACTCACCAGGAAACAAACCCAAAGTCTCTCTACTTAGAGTCAAGCAGTGCCCAACTGCTGAGCACGGACCTGGCCCCAGTCGCTGCTGTGCCTTGAATATTGTAGAGAGACTAGCACATCTTTTTGATATTTCAGCAGTTCCTACAGAGCCTAAGTTTACATAACAGCTAGTCATTCCCCATCCCTCCCCCACTGTTTTCCTTAACTGTACAACAAGGTATCTAATAACTGAAGCCTGTGGTAGCAAAGTCTCTAAAGTAATCAATTAAAACAACAACAAATATTTCCTAGGTCACAATTATAATCCTGTTTACACAAGTAAGTCTTTTCTCAGGCTCTAATTAAGACACCAGATGGTACAAAAAGATTATGTGACATGCTTGAGGATTAAGGATCCAGGAAGAGGTGACCTCTGTATATGTTTTAAATCATTCCACAAGGATCTGACTGTAACAATGAACAAAATGTAACTTTTGTACAGTAAGCATGTTCTAGAATTATCACAGATAAAACTAAAAAATAAATGAGTGCCCAACTGAGTGTATTTATAAACCTTTCTATGACAGAAGGCTAAGATCCCTTCTTCATTTTATACCTGCTCCTAATGTCTATGAGTTTTTGTTTGTGTGTTTTGGGTTTTTGCTTTAAAAAAAAAAAAAACAAAATTATTTTTTAAGTGCTGGCATCATAACCAGCGCTTCATGGCAACCTAAAGTTCTTACCTGGTTATTGTCAGTTCTAGAACCAGGCCTCACTTAGAATAAGCATTCCCTAACACTGCAATTTTAAAATATAGAGGAAGAAAAATAGAAAGGCCAGAAACAAAAGAAAGTCTTGTGTTTGTCACATGACAAGCATGTAGTCATTCTGAGCAATACTGTTATATACCACCAAATTAGGGGAAAATCTGCTCGACATATCCACGAGGACCTCTAAGCTAGCCGAGTTCACATACAATGATATTTCTGCTTCGTCTGTAAGCTGCACTAGACATCTGTGAATGTCGATACATCAAAACCAGGAGTGACACACTGTGGTATATGTGGTGCCAACCAGGAAAGAGCCTTTGCGTGAAATGTTCCCTCCACCATGTTCACCCTTAGACGGCAAAAGGGGGCAGAGGGGATGCAATTTGCTCAAGTATCAGATTTTTGTTGTTGTTGTTGTTCTAGGCGAGTTTTCGTAACAGATCATTTTTTACTGAAAGAGTGTTGTTGAATTTGACTGCCTTGGATATCCACTCACTGAAGTGGGCACAGTCCATGTGCCAGGAGCGTGGCTTCACAATCAGCAGGCTGGTAATGTCGAAGCTTCACCCTGATTACATGGACACACTGCCTCACCCAAAAAGTGTGCTCCTGAGAGATGGCAGGTCCAGCCCTTCTCCTTTCCCTATCTTTATCAGGAGCCAGCTCTCCATTAAGGAGACTCTTTGGCAATACAGTTATCAGAGGAAAATCTTTTCTCATATCCTGTGAATCTGAATGAAGCAACCTCATTCATTCTCTCGGCCACACCCCGGGTTTTATTTCCTTAAGTTCTTCTTGACATGTTGACTGCCTACCTCCTCGCCCTCACCACAGTGAGCCCTTTGCACCTAAGACTTAGTCTGTCTTCTCACTTTTATGGTCCAGACCCTGCCACTCTATCCATAGAATGCAGGCTCAACATATGTGCACTGAGAGAATCAAGCCAATGGGGCACGTGAGTGACTTTCCACCAGTCTATATGCCTTATTAAAAAAATAAGGAAATGACGTGGACATGAAGTACTAGGTACCTTAGAACAATCTGCTTATGGGTCTTGGTGAATATTTATATTTCCTAAAGTTCATGCTAAAAAGTTATTTTCTCAATAGATGTTATTACATATATATATATATAGCATTATTACACACATACATAAAACAGACACGTGGGACATACAAAGCATGCATATGTATGTAAATTGGCTTTGTTGTGTATAATTTTTGTAGAAATCATAGATTTAAGAGTTCGCTAAATACTTAACAATTTGCTATTTCTTCCACTTAGGTAAAATGATAATTTTACAATGTAGGTGACTGGAAAAAGTAGCCTTATATTATCTTTTACAAATTTAATTAAGACCAACTGCATACCCATTCAGATTATCTTGTGCCTTCCTAAATATTATATAATTAAAACATTTTCCTTAAATACGTTAGTTTCTTTCTGAGTTTCTAGGTTTGACACAAGAGTTTAAAAACAGAATTGGAGACACAGTCCCACTGTGCAGCTATGACTGGTCTGGAACTTACTATAGAACTCGGTTGGGTTGGTCTTGAACTCACAGAGATTTGCCTGCCTTTCCTTCCCCAGTACTATAATTAAAGTCATGTACTACCATTCCTGGCAAAAATAAAAAAATAAAGTATGAGCTTTTTATTTTATTTTATATTTTGTTTTTTCAAGACAGGGTTTCTCTGTGTAGCCCAGGCTGCCCTGAAACTTACTCTGTAGACCAGGCTGGCCTCAGATCTGCCTGCCTGGGTCTCCCCAATGCTGGGATTAAAGGCATTCACCACTTCTCTGGTGGAATGAAGTATTTTTAAAGTACTGTAAACTAGCAACTCAATCATGTTCATTCTTACGACACCAAATAAAAGAGCACACTGGAAGTAGAAAACAGATTTTTTTTTTTCAATCATGTGTTCCAAAGGAAGGAAGAGTTTTCTCTTCCCCACTCAACACTATATTGGTTATGGACTGAGAGCCCATAAAGCTAAACTGTAGCAATCAACCTATTCACTGATATACTTACCCTGACTTCATTAACGTTATTGGAATAATCCACTGTCTGGCAAATATAGCTGTATCCTGCGTTGTATGATCCCATGAATAGCTGGGGAAAAAAGGATTAACATTTGTAGTAAAGGTTTGGTAGTCACAGACTGAAAATTTCACAGTAAATTTGAATACAGTCTTCCAAAGTATTTTAAAAGCAGTTATTTTTCTTAAAAAAAAAAAAAACAAACATTTCAACTGCATTAAACATACTAAAGCTATTTTCTTTTTCTTCCCTCCCTCCCTCCCTCCATCCTTCCTCCCTCCCTCCCTCCCTCCCTCCCTCCCTCCCTCCCTTCCTTCCTTCCTTCCTTCCTTCCTTCCTTCCTTCCTTCCTTCCTTCCGGTACTGGGGATCAAACTCAGGACCTCACAAATACTGGGCAAACATTGTATGGCTGCAGCTACATCCTGAGCCCTGAATCAACATGTGATCTTCTAAAATAAAATACATTGTGGTGGCTTTACTATAATCTCAATAAGGACCAAATAAAAAGCAAGCATACCCTTTTCAGCAAGACAGCAACTCCATCAAATACATAATACATTTATTATTAAGAGACTAGTTTATTAGTTCTTATAATTAAACTCGCATAGGGAAGACGTTACATATCTAGCATAGTGCATCATTCCTATAGAAAAAGGAAAAATACACTTAATGTTTCTAAGCCAATATGAATGCTGATCCTATACAATGCTAACTCAGTAGCAGAGAAATTTTAACTGCCATTGTGCTTGCTAGTTTTATGCATTCTTGACACAAGCTAGAGTCATTGGGAAGAGGGACAGTCAATTCAGAAAATGCCATCAGACTGCCCTGGGGACAGTTTTGCCACCCCTGGGCAGTTTGTCTTGAGTGCTATTTTTTTTTTTTTTTTTAAAGCTGGATGAGCAGACCAGGGGAGAGCAAGCCAATAAGCATTGTTCCTCAGTGGTTTCTGCCTCAGATCCTGCCTTCAGGTTCCTGCCTTGAGTTCCTGCCCTGACTTCTTCTTGCCTGGGAGTGTAAGATGAAATAAACTGTTTGGATTCTGAGCCAAGAGTTGCCTTGCCTTAACTGATTTATAAACTGAGTAAAGGTGTCCAAATAAAGCAAATCCAAGTGTCTGTGAAAGGAGATTCCGCAGGCTAAGTTGTTGTTGTGAGGCTTTTCTGAAGAAGAGTCAATTTTCTTAGTACCTGTGGTAAGTAATCAGCTCATACAGAATTTTAGTAAATCCTTAAACTTTAGCAACTTAAAATGACTGTGGCCATTCCAGCCTCCAGGACTGTCTTTCAAAATATTCTGGAGAATTTGCCAATGTCCAAAAAAAGCATGGTGATTAGGAGCCACATCTCCAGGACAGTCAACTCCTTTCCGCTCCAACACAAAACACAGCAAATTACACAGGGCAATTTAACGTAAAAGTCAGACTTACAGGTATTTTGATCAGGCCTGAAACTGATGAAGAAGGGTTCTGGGTGACTCCTACAGCTCACTAAAGGCCGGAGATATTCCAAACATCCCAAAAGCTCACCTCTCTCACCTTTAATCATAGCCTTCTTTGCTCGGCAGCTATGTCTCCATGACAAAACAGTTGCTAAGAGTATGCTGAGAATCCATTCTATGCTGCTTCAAAGTCCCAGATAAATAGCTATCCTACACATCGTCTCCTACTTCCATTATCTAGAAAGTCTGAAGGTTAAAAAATGTTCTGGATACAGAAATTATGGTACATCTACACAACAGAATATTACTCAGCAATTAGAAACAAAGAAATCATGAAATTTGCAGGTAAATGGTGGGAAGTGGAAAAGATCATCCTGAGTGAGGTATCCCAGAAGCAGAAAGACACACAGGGTACATACTCACTCATAAGTGGATATTAGACATGTAATATAGGATAAACATACTAAAATCTGTACACCCAAGGAAACTAATCAGGAAGGAGGACTCTGGCTAAGATGCTCAAATCTCATTCAGAAAGGCAAAGAGGATGGACATCGGAGGAGGGAGAAAACAGGGAACAGAGTAGGAGCCTACCACAGAGGGCCTCTGAAAGGCTCTACCCTGTAAGGTATTGAGGCAGATGCTGAGACTCATAGCCAAACTTTGGGCAGAGTGCAGAGAATCTTATGAAAGAAGTGGGAGATAATAAGACCTGGAGAGGACAGGAGCTCCACAAGGAGAGCAACAGATCCAAAAAGTCTGGGCACAGGGGTCTTTTCTGAAACTGAATACCCCAGCCAAGGACCACTCATGGAGATGGCCTGGAACCCCTGCACAGAGGTAGCCTATGGCAGTTCAGGGTCCAAGTGGCCTCCATAGTAATGGGGACAGGGACTGTCTCTGATATGAACTGATTGGCCTGCTCTTTGATCACCTCCCCCTGAGGGGGGAGCAGCCTTACCAAGCCACAGAAGAAGACAATGCAGCCAGTCCTGATGAGACCTGATAGACTAGCATCAGAGGGAAGGGGAGGAGAACCTCCCTTATCACTGGACTGGGAGAGGGAAGAGGGAGGGTGGGATTGGGAGAGGAGGAGGGAGGGAAGTACAGGAGGGATTCAAAGTGAATAAACTGTAATTAATAAAAGTAAAAATAATTAAATAAAAAAATAATTGAAAAAAAAAGTTCTCTTAGGGTAGCCATCCTGAGGTTCAAGGCTGCAAACAGCAGTTTTGTGGGGTCTCAGTTTTAAATTGTTTCCAAATATCCTGGGGAATCATGATGGTGACATTAATGAACCTACCTCTCTGAAGATGAAAAGGTTAAGCAAAACCATGCCAAAATTATAGATGATGAGCACTGAGCGCATTTGAAATGGCTCCCGGTCTTTCATCCACTTTGGACCCAGCCACACAAACAGGAGATAGAGCGTGCTTATGCTTAGCGTTGGCCATGGAGACTGCATCAGCGGCCAGTCTTCTACTCGTTTATCTACGGAGAGAGCGAAACGACATGAAATTTACCGAACAATACACAAAACAAAATACACGTTTTACAAAACAAAAATTTTCTTAGGAATTAAAAGGTCCTAATTGTATAATCAGAGTAAGCACAGATTACTGTCCCCGTGAACATACACGGTATACAAAAACAAATACAGACACAACTGACTCCTACAATTGTCATTTTTTATGTCACATGACATGTTTTATAGGGAATCAAAGAAACAGACAAGAAATGCACTGAAAAATATGAAATAAGCTTGAGTTGGAAGTGAAATAAAGACTTCTTAGCTTAAAAAAATAACTACTTCAAGGAAACACTAGTTTTCTGTATTAACATGTGAAATTTATCAGGCAGTATGGTGCTGTTTTTTCTATATCCACCCCTAACACAAGTACAAATCAGACTGATGAGGTTTGGGGTAAAGGAGGTCATGAGTTAGAATAATTCTAGAAACGGGAGTTACCATGCAGCCATACTTGAGGAATTAAGGTAATCTCTATACAATCTTACTTTCTCCTAAACAGTAGCCATATTCAAGATTGTTTACTACTTTCCCATGGATAGTGTATATCAATTTTACTATCTATGAAAAACCGATTTTATGCTTAACTTCACTTAATTCACATGTGTAAACACATATAATGGAACAAGTCATTTCATTTAAAGTAAATTGATTGTCCACATTATTTAAATAAGCAACCATCAATCAATTTTATAATTTAATATTTTCAAGATGAGAACATTGATTAAATAAGAAGTTATAATAAAATAATGGATCAAGAAAATTCTATTTATTTATAAAGTATATTAAGATTAAAGTTTACATTTATAATGTTAAGTAGCATTTTATTTTTTATAATCAAATGCCTACTTTTATGCTTGGAAATACAAAACACATTTAACATTGTATTTTCAGCATAAATAGTTTATTTCTAAAAATAAAGAAAAATAGTCCTTTAGCCAGTTCCCAGAATCCATCCTAATTTAATGTACTGTTATTTACAGTAACTTCTATTAAAACTGACTTGTTTACTAAAACTATATATGCAAAATGGCTCTGGATTAGATCACTACATACTAGAATACTGTTTTAAAACATACTAATGAGGCTGGGGGTGTCTCTCAGAAGAAGAGAAAGCTTGTGTGTGTGAGAGAGAGTGAATGTGTGTATACATATACGTGCACATATATCTATACATAAAAATAAGCACACACTAACCTATTTCTATAGACTGTCATTTGAAAATTAAGATGCAGAATATTATTAGGTTTCATGAAATAATCTTTCAAGTCAGAAAGTGCCATAATTACTACGGTTTCAGTGAAATAACTTAATAAAAAGGTGAGACGGGAAGGGGGACAGTCAGGCAGAAGGACTGTGAGTTTGAGGCCAGTCTACTAAATTGTGAGAGATATCCGGTCTCAACAAAACAAAGAAGGGGCATTCTTCTCCAGGGTCTACCTGGATAGTTATCCCATTCCAGAGGTCATTACAGAAAACTAGAATAGACCAAAAGGTAGAGTCGTATAACCCAGTCCCAAAGGACTCATGCGCAACACAACCCCTGCACCTGAGACTCAGGAATCATTGCAGGAGAATGGGGTAGAAAGACTGTAAAAGCTGGGAGATTATGTCTCCTAGAAACGTCAGAAGCTATACCTGTAAAGTCTCGCCAATATGACTGCCCAACGATGACCTGAATAAGGGTTATGCTGAGAGCAGGGAGGAGAACCTTCCCCAGGGAAGAGCACACCAACTGGTTAGCCAATACCAAATGATCAGCCCTGAAAACATATGCATACAAGGAATAGACACACACCACCACTAACAACAACAGTTAAGGAAAAAGCAATGACTGAATTTGAAAGCCAGAGAGAGGAGAGTACATGTGAGAGTTTGGAGAGAGGAAGGAGAAGAGAGACATGATATAATTACGTACACTCTCAAGTAATAAAAAGCATATTAAAAACAAAAAGAGGAAGGAGAGATCATTAATCAAGAAAAGCGTACATGGAAAAAAAACGCAAACAGATTTTATTTCCTACTTTACAAAGGAGGTCTACTGATCATGGTAATGATGATTATATTGATTAAATCAAATACAACCAGGCTTAAAATATAAAACACTTAAGCCACGTTGACTTGTGCTGACATTTGTCAAAGGCCACATGACTGTCATGTTTGCTTGTGGCTTAGAAAACATGTTATCCTTCAATGGTAATTATCTTCCTCTAATTGCAACTTTTCCCTGTCAGAAGCCCCCATATAAAACACAGGGTTCTCATCAACACAGGTCTTGTCTGACGTAGACAAACTCCTGAAGCCTAAAGTCTTGTTCTAAGTCACAGCAGAGTATTGGGTCCTGTTCTCCACAAATGCTTGGGCAAATGCTGACCTTTCTGGTTGAAGTCAAGAGCCAAAGCATTGTTAATGGGATAGTCAGCATGGCAAAGAAAGGAAGATGAATGTCTAAGACCCAGGATTATGTCTCAACTTTTATCTTACCACACAGACGATTCCTATTGACTTCAAAGAAAGTTCTGAGCAACAAGCACACACACACACACACACACACACACACACACACAGAGAGAGAGAGAGAGAGAGAGAGAGAGAGAGAGAGAGAGAGAGAAAATAGAAAAACAGGTTCAGGGGATGCAGGGAAGGCTCAGTCTATAAAGCACTTGCCACACGAGTATGAGGATCTGAATTTGATCCCTAGAATTCTTGCGAATCTGGGAGTGGCACACTTATAATCCAAGTGCTGGGGAAGCAGAGGTAGGAGGACCGCTGGAGCTTGCTGGACCGACAGTCTAGCCCCATCTGTGACCTCCACATCTAGTGAGAGATGCTGTCTCAAAAACTGAGGTGCCAAGAAATTAAGCAAGACACCCAGCATCAACCTTTGCCTGCAACAGACACACACACACACACACACACACACACACACACACACACACACACA